CAATAATAGCAGCTGCCGCCTGGTCAGCATTCTTCTAGCTTGACTCAGCCTCAGCTGCATCTTTCTTCGACGCATCTACCCCAATCGGCACTATAGCCACTATCGGATCCTCCTCCTCCAATGCCTCGTCCTCAGCAGCCGCCAGGATCTCTTGATTATATCTCTCAGAGCACTAGCGATACGTTTTTTCCCATGAGGCAAAGTCGGCATTGGGGAAGAGGCGGCCCCAGGTGAGGCGCTGGATTTGAGATGAGTCTTCCATCATCTCTCGGACCAGATCCTTCTTGTCCTGCTCGGCCTTTGCCGAGAGCTCCTCGGTAAGACTCTTCTCTTGAGTCGCCAAGCGCTCCTTAACGTGTGCCAAGGATTTCTCCAAGGTGTCATATGAGGACATTTTTTGGCGAAGAGGTCTCAGCTCGGCCTTGAGATTGTTGATGGTCGCCTCCAGCTCATTATTTCTCTTCTGGGCCGCCTCCAACTGAGCCCGGATAGCAGAAGTAGCCTGCGCTTGATAATAAAGAATATCAGTTGTCAAAATCTCATTTTGGGCAATTTGAAACATTGCCTTATCACAGTTAGAGGCGACCATAGCTTTAGCAGCCTTTACCTCTTTGTTCTTCCTATCAAGCGGCTTGCGAAGCCGTTCACTCGGAGCAGAGACTGAGTAAAAGGAAACAGGCGTCAGGTCTTCAAACAAAAAACAGGCGTCCAGAAATTAAACAACAAAAATATGCTAAGTATACCTCAGCAAGGAGCCCTACAATCCGGTCTATGTCAAGGGTGCCGACATCCCTGACCGCCTCTCTCTCAGCCGGAGGGACGGCTTTGATCATGGACTTGGCCACCTCGACCAGGTCCGGTTCCTGAGGGCCGGCTGCATCAAGCATATACAAGCACGTTAGATATAGTAAAAAGGAAGTAAGTTCGAATGCATAAGGACAGTTCCATACTTCTAGGCGGCCTGTTTAGGGTTTGAGAAGGAATGAACGGCTATTTCTCAGCCGCCGCATTTTTCCTGGCAGTGCTAGGAGAGCTCGCAACAGTCGTCCTCCGGTCTTGGAGTTCGGCTGTTGGGAGGAGGAAGTTCGTGGTGTGCCCGTCTAAAAAAAAAAAAAAAAAAAGAGAGAGAAAGAGAGCACACGGTCAGTATATGAACCCAACCTCAAACACAAAAAGGGGAAATGGTGAAAGGCTAGGAAATTACCAAGGGCGCCTCCTTGTTAGGAGAGTCGGCAGAGGATTATTGCATGATAGAAGCACACAACATAGGAGCCGCAGTTTTTGAGGCGGTAATTTTGCTCATGGCGTCCGCTGCAAGAACAAATACCAAAGTTAATAAAAAGTCATAACCGTAATGTATGGCAAAAGAGCGTATTCGACAGGCCGGCTACCTCTTGAGCACCGACTGCTGAGGCCACAGGCGGCCAAAAAGTACTCGTCAAAGAGCCATTTAAAGCTCGGGACGCAGTGCAGGGTTACTTGCTCTCGCACCCCTGTAGTAGAGTCGACCCTTGTCTCTACTTTAAAGAGTCCTTTGTCTAGGATCTCTTTCTTAGCTTTGGGGGGAACAGGCGACATGCTCTGACCGCCTGCAAGGAGAGGCGGGTCTCTGTTCCACCTGTTGAAGCGCTGGTTCAGCTCTGTGTCTGAACTCTCAATGATAAGGAAGGTGCTTCTCCAATCCTTCCATTTGTTTTCTTTACCTCTTGTCATGAGGTAGCCACGGTGGCTCGTCAATTGGTACCAGCCGGTACCGCCTGCCTTAGGGGTCCGGCTGAGATAGTTCATGTGGGCAAAAGCCTCAAAGTTTGGCTCCACCCCGTGCAGTTCGCACCCGGCCACATAGCCGAGAACGTTAAACTAGGAATTTGGGGCTAACTGCCATAACCCCAACTCATACCCATCCAAGATCCGCTGAACAGCCGGATGTAGGGGGAAGCGCAACCCAGCTCTGATGGCCGCCTCATAGCAGCCAAAACAGGCGCTATCGTAGCTGGTACCAGCCGGCCAGACGACTGTGTCCTCCGGGTCTGGCACAAAAACTAAAAAGCCAGGCCCCATTGTGTGGTTCGCAATAAAGCTCCCCACTTTCTCTTGCATGGCCTTGATCCGGCCTTTCGGAACTGTGCAGTAGTAGAGGGTGTTTTGTTCTCTATAGGAGGCGGATGGCTCCGCCCAATTATATCCTTTCTCAACTGCGTGAGAAAGCCTCGCCTCTTGTAGGCGGTTGTTTTTCTCCTCTGTGTCTAGAGAAGCATGACCAGAAGAACTAGACTCGGACTCGTCCTCTGAAGAGTCCGAAGAGGACGACTCCTCTCCTCTCCCAGAGGGGCCCGCCTCCTCTCCTTCAATAGGAGCAGGAGTAAATGTAGACATGTCAACTGTAAAATGGGAAGGGACCACCTTGATCTCTCCCTCAGAGCTGTCGGCGGTCAAGCCGCCTTGGTTCACTTCAGCATCTGGCGCCTGGTCAGATGTCTCACTAATCGGCACCTGGTAGGAGGAGCCGTCTGAGTTGGTGATCCTAGCAGTTCTTTTTGTTCTGGCCATTATGTTCTGCATAGACACAGATACAGTCGGACTTTGTATAAAGGGCAAAGATTGGTTCGGAAAAGGGCAGGCGGCACTCCTAGTCCTAGATTCAGCCATCCCCAGTGACCGGCTGATCACTAACCTAGGTCGTGTCGTGTGCTTCCATGGTGCCATTTCAAAAAGGAAAAAATAAAGAAAAATTAAAAGAGTGAGAGAACCGACGGTTACCTGAACGAGTGAGAAGTTGACGAAGTTCTGAAAATTCTGAGAAAACGGCCGACTTGTCAGAGCAGGCGGTAGGCATAAAGTATCCGGAATGTCAGAGCAGGCTCAAGGGTCCGAATGTTCTCTTAAAAGTTCTCATGTGTGAAAATGGCTGAAGTCAACACACCCTTATATAGGAAAAAATGAGAAGGCGAAGGGTCACTCCCAAATTCAAAAATTGAGCGGGAGACCTCTCGGCCTTTCATCAAGTGACACTTGTAGCAGGCCGTCTCCTGTTACGGTGCGACACCTGTCACAGGTAACACGTGACCAGTCACGTGCCACCTGTGAGGGGCAAATGATTAGGGGATTTTTATCCACCAATCACCATCTGACACATGGACCTACCAGGTTCCGCCACGTGTCCTTCATGTAGGCGAATCAGAGCCTGCCACGTGTCAATCAGAGATACGTCCTCCACGGACCAATTGAGACGCGACACGTGTTCACCCATGCCAAATGGGAAAACCGGCCAACAAGGCCCAATCCTTGTGGGAGGCCCATTCAGCTCTAGGTTTAACCTAAACCTAGGTATTGGCACGCATCCCAAAGCATATAAATATGCTCATTAATCCTCAGTAAAGGGGATTACACACAAAAAACACTCTCACCTAGAGAGACCCAATTACAATATTCCGCATTAATTACTCCTTAAACAAGTACTAACTTGACCGTTGGAGGCGGATCTCCGGACCACTCGGAGTGTCCGTTTGTTTTGCAGGTACAGGCGTCCGGTTCCAGTCTCGGAATTGTAACTCTCCCGCAGGACATCAGAAAACCCCGAAACAATAACTTTATATAAATATAAGATTTAATATTTTTAGCACATCTCCTCATTATTTATTAAACATTTAGAAATTTTGTGTTTTAAATTTTGTTAATATTTTTTTGATTTTATATTTCTTAACAGAATCAATTACTTACTGATTTGGAAAATGAGCAATCAATTTTTTGCTCATTTAGCAAATGAGCAAATAGTTATTATCTCATTTGTCAAATGAGCAAATACTTAGTTGCTAATTTAACAAATGAGCAAAAACTTAGTTGCTCATTTATCAATTGAGCAAATAGTTAGTTGCTTATTTTTCAAATGAGCAAATAGTTAGTTTCTCATTTGTCAAATGAGCAAATTTTTTTTAATCATTCATTAAATAAACAAGCATTTTTTTTCTCATCAAATTATTCTTTGCTCATTTGTCAAATGAGCAATTTGTTCTTTGTTCATTTTTCAAATGAGTTAATTATTCTTTGCTCATTTGTCAAATGAGAAAATTGTTCTTTGTTCATTTTTCAAATAAGCAAAAACTTAGTTGCTCATTTGTCAATTGAGCAAATAGTTAGTTGCTCATTTGTTAAATGAGCAAAGAATAATTTGCTCTACCCTTGAGCAAATAATTGTTCTTTGTTTATTTGCTCAAATAAGCAAATATTTATTTACTCATTTATCGATTGAGCAAATAGTTCATTGCTCATTTGTAAATCAACAAATAGTTCAAATAAACGGTAGGTATAAATGACAAAGTATTTCAGGAAAACACAAAAGATCCAATTTAAATATAACCAACACAAAAGTCACCATAATCAAAAGTCACCATTTTTACATCATTCAAAAAGTAACACTACTAAACAATTTACAAGTTGATTAAATCATTGTTTCTCTACTTCCCTAAACTTAGAAAGCTATATCAACACCACCAAGTATCTTAATCAACACTACACCAAGCAAAATATTGAGGTTACACTAACAAGTAGCCTTTTATTCTTAAGCTCTTTCTTCTTCACTCTTTCTTCTTCAACTTTTTCTTCTTCAGTCGTAACATAAACTTTCTTCTGCTTTTTCTTTTTTTGAGGAATTTCTTTAACGGATTGAATTGTGTTTATTTCACTTGAAATTATTGCCAAGGTTTACTTCACACAAAGTTTTTCTATGATTATCACCTGTAAGAAATAGAAAAGAAAAAATAAAACAAGAAAATTTTATAAAATATAAATGCATGAAGGAGAGTGAAGCACGAAGCAAAAGAATAGAATAAGTAATAAGAAACCCAAATTCTGATTTCCTTTACAGTTATTTTAAAAGAAAAGTAGCTTGAAATCTTGCTAATGAGCAATCAATTACTTAATATGCAGCATACTTGATATGTAATCCAAGACTATTTAAAGGTTCACTGGGTTCACTGAACTTTGGCTCAATTGCTCTACAGTTTATAGTCCAAGTTTCAGCCGAGTTGGAAAAGGGAAGGTGGATGACTGGTGTGCAAGGTCACTCAGAACCATCTACTACTTATATTGGCCATAAATAGAATTCAATAAAAGAGGAAAATGTCATCATTTAAGCAAAAATAATTCAAATGAGCAAATTATTTGCTCATGGGGATAGTGTATTGCAAATTATTTGCAATTTAATTGTCTTTTCTTCTTGAATAGTGTATTGTAATCTAATGGTAGTATTAGAGATTGTGGAAATTATGTCCTGTTTTTTTAATTGTTGAAATGTTAGTGCAAAGCCTCTACTTCAAGAGAAAATAAACCAGAGCAGGAAGCTACCTTAGTGTGCTACCTTCTCTGCTATGCATAAGCAGATGGAAGCTTGGAAGATTTCACTTATCAAGGATGCATAATCCACAGCCTAGAGCACTAGTTTAGTTCTTCTCTCTTTAACCACTTCAATGAGCTTACCAACTTTAACATTGAAACTGTAGCGCTTCCTAAAGACCTTATATTTGACAGATGGAAACTTTACAATTTTTTCCTTTCTTGGTTAACTATCAAATAACAGTGCAGGAACTTTCACAAGAAGTCCAAGCACATGGAATCACTTATATAAGGTACTTGCAAAAAATGGTTAAGGACGATTGTTATCTAGCTACTTTATCAATTGTGTTATTTTGTGAGCAAATATGTTCAAGCACAGAGATGCCAGTTTAAGCCTTATATTTAATCATATTAATTCAGTCAAATAATTGCTTGCTCATTTGAAAAATGAGCAAATAATTGCTTGCTCATTTGACAAATGAGCAAATTATTGGCTGCGAATTTGACAAATGAGCAAGATTTATTTAAACTTCTATTTAAGAATAATCAAAAAATAACTTGGTGGTGCATATAAACATACTAATATCCTTTTATTATCATGAATTTTCTTTATCATTCAAATTTTTAAATACTACCCCCCTTAAAATACACATATGCATGTGAGTAACACCTGAAGTGGCTACTGTAGATAAGTTAAAGTACGTCCACTCCCACTTTTAAAAGGGTTATTATAAATTCATGAGCTATCAATGTCGTTCTAAGTATCACATAGACACATAATCACAAGGTAGTGAAGGTACCCTTTATACTACAGTGTAATTGAAAAAGTTCCTTAGCTGCTACTGTAATGGCTATTGAAGTAAATTTACACTTTACATGTCCATATTCCTATAAACTCAGAGAGTACTAGAAATTAACAAGTAAAAATTGTAGGCCTTGTAGCCAACCTTTTTTAGGCTTGGCACACACAAAATTTAATCGAGTCCAGTAAACAAGTAATTAAGGACATTCCATATAAGATGAAAGACTTACATTATTCTTCTTCAAACCTGAAGGCCACTTTGACAAACCCATGTATATTTCCATAATCCTCATCAATGAAATTCCACAATGCAAATGATTAATATCTTTAGACTTCCAAGGAGAATCAATTGCAGCATGCTCCATGCGCTTGATATCGCTTGACACCACAGAGCTCTGTACATTTCCTCCGTATTGCATAAAATTGGAAAATGCACTTCTCTGAAAATAAACATGTCAAATGAGAAAAGATAATAGATATTTATAAAATCTAATCATTTTACTGAAATGAGCAAACATAATGTTAATAGAAAGTAACTTTTAAACCGTACCAAATGTTTTAAAAGCTGTGTGATCTCCGAAATCTTCACTATAATCAATAACCTCGATATTACCATGCTCTGTGGTAGTGTTGAAACATACCAAATAATAATGACCTCTTTCGTAAACTGGGAATAAGAAAAGTTGAATGTTCTTCTTTGGGACAACAGTTTGGCTGTATAACTTCTCAGCAACCTCACAAAACATAGCATTCCCATGACTAACAAAATCAATCTCATAATGAACAAGACAATCCTACATGTTTAAGAAAAAAAAAAATTCAACAGGACTACTGTAAAATACTTCAATAAAACAAAATAAATTAAAGAATATGAACTTACAGTAGCAGCAAGATTAAAAAAGAAACGAGCAGGAGAACTTGAGTCTCTAAATTGCTCATTATAATTCAAAATACTACACCAAGCATTAATGATTTCTGAATCAATTTTATGGTGAGTATAAAGCTTTCCAAGTTGAAATCTCATGATTTCAACATCATCCTCTCCATTAACTTTGGATAAAAATACTTGTTTACTGCATAAAGGAATTAAGAAAGTTAATATCACTAAAGCAAATGTGAGTTAGTGTACAAGATAGCAAAGTATATAATAAAAAAAAAATACTTACAAACGATTTTTATCATCATCAAACAAAGCTTCCAAGACACTTTTCTGAATTTCTGATAATGTAGAGTAAATGTTGATAATCCATGTCTTAAAAGGTGATCTAAGCAGCATTGATGGTTGAACTTTACGCTTCTTTAAAGTAGGAACATCAACAGCGCCTACAGCACAAGGAACATCAGCATCAGCAGCAACTGAAGGTCGTACAAGACCATCAACATCAGCAGCTACTAAAGGTTGTACAATAGTTGGGAAGTTCTCCAGATCATCAATATTTTAAGAATCAAATCCTAAATTGAAAGTAGGAGTTCCAAATCCTTTTTTAACTGAAGATCTTAAACTAGATCGAATACTTGAACCTCCTTCAACTTTTTCAGTTTCAACTACAATAGCAAGACCTTCATTTTCAAAAAGACTATTTGCTATATGAACACTTTCAGCAGCAATCTTTGTAACATCAATGGCTCCTGTTACGGTTGGACAATCAGCCCTAGCAAAGACTGAGGATTCAACATTCTTCTCATTAGCTGAAATCTTGGAAAATCTATTCCAAGCTTCAATGACAGCTGGATCTTGCCAATACTCATCGTCTTGGCTAAAAGAAAAGCTATGATTTTCTGGCATAGCTTGGGAAATCAATCTTTGCTCGTCACAAATACCCATTGCATCTTCCTTTAGCTTCCATATTTTCTCATTGTGAGGAAAATGCTTGACAGCTAGTTCATGTTTTTCATGAAAGTCCATGTATGCCAACACCAACTTAGTCGAAGCTGCTGCAAGATCCATAAGGCATTTCTAGAAAAAAAAAAACATAAATATAAATCAAAAGACTAAATGAGCAAAAAACAAATCAATAGTAAAATATTTGCTCATTTGTCAAATGAGCAATTAATTTTTTTGCTGATTTAGGAACTCCATTGATGCGCCATATAGAGTGCCACATTGCATCATTATTCAATTGCTGCTGATAATCTACAAACCCAATTTTGCCAACCAAACTTCATAGAATAGAATTCAGAACATTGATTCAGAACGAATGTCATTAAAAAACAAAATAAATTAATATTAGATCTACATTGAAATATTAAAAATCATATAAATTCCTTCTTTAGATCTACTTCAACATCTTCGTTAGTTTGTGGAACAGTTGGAACAGATGTTTCCTAAATGCAAAAAAAAAAAAAAAAAAAAAAAAAGTCAGAATAAGTTGGGACCATTTGCAATGAGATCTAACAAGATTTGTTCCAATTCAATTCAATTATAAAAGGCAGAAAAGCTAAGTATTGATTGAAAGTGAAATACCATTTTTGGTTGTCTGCTGCCAGAAGGACCAACAACCTTCAGATTTTTATCAAAAATTCCAAGCCTCCCCTTAAAAATTTCCAATTTCTCATGACTAGACAACATATTGGTTGTCCAACCTTTGAGAACAGGAGTTTCTCGTTTGGCTCTAACTTCCTCAATGACAAACTGATCAACATATAAAAGCTACAAACAAGTAAGATAGAAAAAAATAGTACATTAAAATTAAACAAATAAATAACAGTTAATACATAAAAAATTAAAAAAAAAACTTAGAAAATACCAGCCCCACCCCCTACTGCCACCTACCCACACAAACCTACGCACACATTTCAATTCAGTAGCTGATCACAATTCTGATTTCAGAAACTAATTTCAAAATCTAATTTCTGAATCTAATTTTAAAATCTGATTTCAGATTCTATTACAGGTTGTGAGTGCGTGTATGTATGTGTATGTGTCTGTGTGTGTGTGTGTGTGTCTATGTGTGTGTGTTTGTGTCAGTGTGTGTGTATGCATATATGTGTGTCTGTGTGCGTGCGTATGTGTATTTATGTGTATATGTGTGTGTAAGTGTGTGTGTGTTCTTGTTTAAGGGAGGAAGGGGGTTGCAGGTGATCTTGCTATTTTTCAAATAATAAAATGCAACACATAAAAAGTACCATAAGAAATAATAAAGATCCTAGAAAGTAGCGAGTAGGAAGCTCATCCCATTTGATCTTCGCCTTCACAAGAGAATCAAGGATAAACTTCGACCAATTTAAATCCTTGATTTTAGCAACACTAGTAAAAAATATCTGAGAATGTCATGATTAACATTCTTGTTTTGTCCTCCTAACATAAAATAACAAAATTAAATTAAAATGATCAAACAAAAACTAAAATGAGCAAAATGAAAGTAAAATGAACAAAATGAAATTAAAATGATCAAAATGAAAGTAAAATAAGAAATATGAAAATGAAAAGACTACCTGACATTAAAGTGGAAACACAAAGAACTACAAAATAGTGTTTGAACATTGGCCTAGTTGATTTATGGTCCTTCAAATACATTGAAAGCTCCCCAATGTTCACAGATAATGAGTTCTTTGGGAACTGTTTTTTCCATTGGTTAATAACTTTATCATCCTTTGAAAAAGCATTAGCATCCATCTCTATGCCTCTAGCTGGCAGGCCTAGGACCTCATGTACATGTTGTTCTGTAATTTTGAAAAGTTCGGAATCAGGAATATTCAACGTACAACTATGAGCATCAAAGTGCTTGACCAACCAAAAACCCAATTGTAAAGGCAGTTGGGACACTTTCAAAAACTCCAAGGACCCAAAGCCTATAGCTCTAATCGCAATCAACTGATCTTCAGAAAACTCCTTACAAACATTAACGACAGATGAAGGCAACATCCTATTACGCAACGTCCCATAAACAACACATTTTGATCCCTGCACTTCATCAATAGCATCTTCACCATCTGGATCCTCAAACTTCACATTATGCTTTTCTT